GAGACGCAAACAGATATAGATATAGATATGTATATATATATATATATGTATGTATGTATGTATGTATGTATGTATATGAATGCATACTTTAGAACGTTCCGGTACTTGTTGCATCTCTGAGCTCCAACTAACGGATTATCTCCAAATCGGAGCATTCTGAAGAAGTAGAATGTGAAAAGTGGGCAAAAGTTGTGTGCGGTTTTTTTCTGTCCCAATCAAAACCGCCTCGTCCTCGAGAATGACAAAAGCACCAGGTTCATGCCGCGCGGGAAACAGTTGAGAGAGTTGGGGACAGACTGCGAATGACTTGGTCGTAAAAAAATGCATTTGGTATGTATTACTCTGTGTTCGACGGCCAGCGGGGTTGGGGGGATTTTTCCGACAGTCATGCGTGGGAACCATTCTGCGTTGAACTTGTTGCCATTCCTCTGATCATTCTTGGTCGTTTACGGGTTGTGTGACTGAAGAACACATCCTCCGATGTTGATTTTCTACGCATACACAAACCGAACAGAAGGATGCGCAATTTTGAACGAAATGCGCGACTCATAAAACAGTAGATCAACGGGTTGGACATATTGTTCAGAAAGAAAAAGTTATATCCGATCAGGGTAAAGTTTACCAGTTTATTTGCGATCAGCAGTGACGGGGTGAACACAATAATATAAACCACAGCCACCACAAATAGAACACTTGCCGAACGGATTTCTCTCCACAGTCCACTCTCGGTTAACCCCTTGATGGAAAATCGCATTCGCATTCGACTGGGCCGGGGCTGTGTACCGCAATCGGGCAGCACGCTAAGCCCATCCTCAGCACTGAAACTAGACTCTGTTCCGTCCGCAACCGGTCCGAATTGTTCCAAACTCAGCTGGGCAGACTGTTTCTGTGCGTTCAAGGAATGTTCGTGCATTTTTCTCATCCGGCGGTGAGCTTTTATCACCACCTTCAATATGAGCGAGTAAAGGATCAGAACGAACAGAATAGATACAACAAAACTGGCCGTATTTCCTTTTTGTACAATTAGATAGAAATATTTTTGTGCTAAAGTCGTATTCATCAAATCCCCGGTATCTGTGCACATCAATTCCGGGGGATCAGAATCATCTGGAGCGAGTTGGATTGTACCAAGACCGAAAAACCCGTAAATAATACAAAATATTGCCAGAGCTGTGGTCAGAATCTTAGCCCGTTTCATAGTGAGCATCGGATGCAGCGGATGACAGATGGCCAGATAACGGTCCAGTGCGATGGCGATGACTAGTAGAGCACTGAACATCGTGTTGCAGACACAGACCAGTGCGTGGATTTTACACCACACCTCACTCGGGGGTTTCATTTCCACATATTCCATGTAGAACGTCAGAGGCACGACAAAACAACACACCAGTAGATCCACACAAGCGAGAACCAAAATAAAAAATGTCGGTGTCCCCGTGGTTCGCAAAAATGTCCCGTCTTCTTCAATCACTACTCGACTGGTGGTTTTCTCGTTTACCGTTTCCACACACAAAGCTCCGTTTGTGGAAGCATGAGCTTTAAACATTTGACGATGCATCCGATGTTTTTGCGGGAACAGGTACTCTTGCAAATAAACACCCAGAACAAGTAGATTACCCACTGTTCCCACGAAACATACAATCCCTAACATGGTCAACGTGAGGATTAAGTCCACAGAGTTGCTGGGCATGTCCGGCGTACATATGGAACGGTTTTTGGGGCTATCACTTGACACTATGGCCTAAGAGAGATCCGCATGGAAAGTGACATTTGCAAATGTGTGCAGACTTTGAGACTAACTGTACCATCGTAAATCTACCGCAAGAAAAACCGTAACTGTACCAGGCTGCAACGTGATTGGCTGCTTTTAGGAGGCATACTATTGGTCAGCTTTAGGCCAATAACACATTGAGAGACTGAGGTAAGCTAAGCATGAACGATTCGCTGCGCTGCTGCTCTGGTATCGAATAAAGAACGTGGAGCATATCTAGTTTTCATCTATACTAGCTGAAAAACAACTTCCTTTGAACTTGAGAATCACGATCTTGGTGCGGTACGGAAAACCACAATTTGCGTGAAAAGAAACAAACAGCCATGAACATAAATTGCCGTAGGTTTGCAAAGATAAAAGTCTGAAAAAGTGTGCCTCTATAGTTCACGAATTGCGATGGTGGTAAGAATGATGCAGATATGGCCTTTGAAAAGGACCTAAGGGCAGGCAGGCGGATACGGATCCACTCGAGTTTTGTGATAGACTGATTTGTCAAAATGCCCAAACGCTGAATGAGAATACTGGAAATTGTAACACGTTTGAGTTTAAGATTGGATGCTGCCAGTAGATAAGGTGTGAGCAGAATTTGAAATAACTTCGGTGTTATGCGATAATCAATGGGTAAACTTGTCACCTGCATCAAACGGTTCGTCACGCTGGCGATAAAAATAGTACATCAGTGGTTCTAGATAAAAGTTTGAGGAATCTAGAAATGAGTGTAGAAGCTCTGGCTTTCAAGCCAAGGTAATAAAAATGAGCAGAACATTCAGCGAAGACAAATGTATTGGACAATCAATTTAATGAGTCAACTATGGAGAACGTTAAGTTTTCCGAGTAGCAATACCCACCTTCGGGTTGAGATTGAAAACCCTGACTCGTCATTTACTTGGTGAACAGCCACGCACCATATGCATGAAAATTTTGGATTAAACACACTCCAAAAAAGAATTAAAACAAAATATTGAGTCGGTCTTGGATTGTGGAACAAGTAAAATTGTGATGACTATCAGAGATTACTAGTTGTTGTGGTCAGATGGTCACTAACTCACCATACTTTCAACCAGTATTCTGTGCAACCAATTAAAATTCCAGGAGAAGCGATGGGCTATTGTTGTCATGTGTTGGTATTAAACTAATGAGTATTGCCGTTTCTTTCAATTGACATAAGGTCCTCCAGTTGTTTCTTACTCTATTTAAATAGAGGAATTCCGAAATGCGAGAATTCAGTGTTTTCCTCGAAATTTGAGAACCACAACCACAGTAGCATAACGCATAAACCGTGTCTACGAATTTGCTTTGGATTTCAAAAACATTTATTATTTTTAATTAAATACCAGCTCCTCTTCCGCAATCGATTTTATTCGGTGGTAACGTCACCAAAGTTGCAACCCGGAGTACGGGAGACGTGTTAGAATCTCACCACTACTGTTTGACGTACCCTGTTGTCGTAGGCCAGCACTTTGATTGGCTGCTCCTCCTCTCCTGAAAATTTTATCAAGATGAGGTACAAATGTAAAAAAGAAAAGAATGCAGACTGGAATTACAGTATTCTTAACCATTATCATATTAATTAATGGGCATTCACAATCATCAGAATCTTCAACCATTCCGTAATTGTGATTCGAATCACACAGTAACATTAACGGTTTTTCAGTAAAATACCTGACCACATTTCTTGTATTATCTATCCGAAATAGAATTTCCTTTGTAACAGCTTTCTCAAGTTTATCTATTTGAATGTGCATTTTATTCATTATTTGCTCGGATTATGGTAATCCGTTTGGATTTCATTTCCCCGTGACAATCGAATGATAAGTCAAAAGCTAAACTACCAGTTCTTATTAATTTACATTCACTAATTCGTGGCTTTCAGTCTTCATTGTTCGCGATTGGTTTATATCCAACCTGAAGCTTCTCCAGTCCAAGTCCATAAAATGAAAGAAACACTATTACAGGAAGAAACGGAACAGGATTGGATGTTAAATGACACTAAATCAAACCCACCTATCTGTGGCGCGTTAATCCGAACATACGTGACAAACTCCAGCAATCACATCAAAAGCCTTGCTAAACAACAGAGATAGCGGAAATTCACAGACACTCATTGATTTCCGTTGAACGCACGTCATGTGAACCTCAAGGCACAGTCATAACTACGTTCATGTCTATCGTATATGCAACTGGCTGCGCAGATGAAGGGTGTCCAAGATAAACAAGCGATATGTTTGCGCCGTGCGATCGACAGATGCCTATGTACTTAGTGTGTTGTGATCGTCTGGTGACTTGGGGGCGAGTGTGGGAATGCAATGGAAGACAAACCGCAAGGGGATTCAACCACATGATTTCCCGTCAATACAAGGTCAGCACAAAGTAAAATTTCAGGCGCGGTTTTCGTGCTTCATCCAAATCCTAAAAAATCACGTTTTACGCTCTTGTAATCGGTGAGGTGATTACCAAATGCGGAGTGCATAAAAAAGACCGATGAGGCTTTTGCATAACCAGTGCATTTTTTACATGTTTATCAGTGTTCGAACATTTTGACTGGACAATACTTTCTGCCTATTTGGTCAAAGCCCCATTCCAATAGCAAATTGTTGCACATGCCGCTGGATTCCGTTCGCGCGAGGCGATTGGACCCCGCACTGTACGTGACAACCTGTTTGATCACTGAGCTGCGCTGAACAGGAGTAGATTTCATGCAGACAGATTGAAACAACTACCGGCTAAATTAAATCGGGGTAAAAATATGTCAGGCAACCGCGAATTAAACACATGTTAGATGATCATTTCGCGATTCGGTTAAAAGTGGCAAAAAACACTATGACAAAGTTCACAAAAGTTGACTTGATTGTCTCAATCACCTTTTGGGTACGGTGAATTTCTTTAATTCGAATAAACTCGGAATTATTCACACGTATTCCCGAGTAGTGAGTCAAATAAGTGAAGGCAATCAAAAATAATGGAGAATACCAGTGGCTGGAATTCATTCTGGTAGAATATGTACATTTGTTCATCATGAGTGTAATAGCTTTTTGGGGTTGGGACGAAAATGTACTCGATAGTTTCTTTCAGTTCGTTCACTTCTTGGTCACTAACAATGACCCACTCGCACCACATACAAGCTACAGTACAGTCAAAAGACATCAGGACTTTGGTTTCTTTTCATGTGAAATAGGAATCGAAGAACGTTTGGTTCGTTTTTCGAAGCAATGCCTTAACTGATATACACATCTACTCAAATGCATCCACTAAACCGTGATAAACCTACTCCGTGACGTCTCTGTTCAAACTCACTCTTCCAAGATTCAGAATCATCCATGTGCCAAAGAGTTTTTGGGTTTTCTTCAAAAACGGTAACAATCTGATGGTCGTGATGCATTATTTTGCTTCTTATGCATGTATTATTGCATATCAAATTGACCAAATGTACATGTGGACGAGTCTCTGACATTCCTCATACGAACAGAAAGAACTTGTACTATACATATCACACTGAAGTGTCGTAATCCCGAGGAATAATAGACATGCATAACTCTCGTTGTCTTTGAGATCCACCGAATACCG